AGCGAGATACATGTGTAATCCTTCTCCCCATCACCACAAGCATGCGCTGAGAGTAGCCCAATATTTGTCTGGTAGTGCAAACAAGGGCTTAAGGTATACCAAAGATCACAGACACGTGAATGAATTCGGGAAATATGGATTGCATTGTGCTGTGGACGCTAGCTTTGCAGATGACTTTGAATCATCTAAATCAACAACAGGCTATGTTATATTTATGGGAGGAAGCCCAGTCATTTGGAGGTCAAAACTACAGACAACAGTATCTACACTGACTTGCGAAGCCGAGTATGCAGCCATCTTCGAAGCAACAAAAGATTGCGCTTGGATAAGGACATTCCTGGAAGAACTGGGGCAAATGCCATCCGGACCCATCCCTGTCCTTGAAGACAACAACGGAGCAATCAAATGGGCTAACAGTACAGGAATCAGCTCTGGCCGAAGACATGTTCGTGTAGAGTACAACTACGCCACACAGGAAGTTCGCGACAAGAACATTACCATAAGGAAAGTGGAGTCAAAATTGAACCCAGCGGACGGCTTGACTAAACCGCTTAACAATGCGGCATTTAACGAGTTTGTTGAAAGACTTGGAATGGTAGATTGATTAATTAGCGGATTCAGGTTTAGGGGGCGTGTAAAAGTGCAAGGGAAATAATAATTGTGTAAACCTTAATCCTTGCATGTCCTATGTTAGCCCTAATAAGCGAGCGACGCTAAATGGGTTGATTTATGGGGGAACACTCTATACTTGGAATATGTGTAACTTTTGTATACTTAGATTTATATATACCGAGTTAGGGTAATATAACTTCACCTTTTGAGAAAGGTTTTTATAATAAATAAATAAATATTCTACAATCTAACACAATTAGGATTACAGCAACCGGAAATAGCTCTCGATGACCGTGTGCTAACAGCTACAGTCAGACTACGCCGTCTAGATCCTCGACATCCGCTCTTACGCCGAGCTAACAGAGTTCTCGGTTTACAGCGTCCTACCTCTCGTTCTGCTCGGCGTGTACTGTCTCTTCCAAAATTAGTGCAAATCAAATCAATTGCCATGCCTCCCTGGAATCCACGTGAGTGCCGAGAAGCCGCACAGTCCCGGGTGGCTGGACCGAACAGTGGCTCTGAAGATGAAAATAAACAAGTCTTCCTTGGTTTCCTCCATACTATCCCCGTGGAGACATTATTGTCTACTTAGACGGCTCGAAGCAACAAAATGTCCTGGGAGGCGCTGGCTTCATCGGCTACCAAGGTGGTGTACAAGTTTTACATAAGAGTATCGCTCTTGGAAAGGGCGTCGAAGTTTTTGATGCGGAAGTGAAAGGCGCCCTAGAAGGGGCAAAATCTGCACTAGCACTCCCAACTTCTAAATTCGATACAGACCTCTGGATTTGTCTAGATAACTTAGAGGTTGCCACTCGACTCTCATCTCACTTTTCAGGGTCCTCACAAGCGCAATTTGATGAGTTCCTCACCTTAACACGCAAGTGGCAAGAACGATCTCGGCTTGCCCACACTAGACGGGGCCAAATACGGGCTCGATGGGTTCCGAGCCACACATCCATAATTGGAAATGAAGCCGCCGATAAAGCCGCGAAAGATGACTGCCATTTACCAACTTCAGATGACCTATTTTTCTCATATGCTGGTCCGAAGCGCTGGGCAAATGAGTCCACAACACAAGCCACTGGCAAACTATGAAGAACTCTTCTCCCCCAGCACATAAGCTATGAGAGACCAGGAATTATATCAGCTCCCTCTAGGCCTAAAGAACTCACCCTTTCGCGTGCCACTCTAGGCCGTATCCTTGCAGCTAGATCTGAACATGGCGTTCTCGCAAACTACCACGAGCGTTTTAACCACGAGAATGCACCAAAATACTGCCGATGTGGCCGTAGAAAGGACCCACTACATTTTTTTTCTGCCATATAGGGAAAAGAAGATCACGTCTTATGCAAGGTCTACCTTCAAAGATGATCCTGTTCATTCTTGGCACACGTTAAGGGGGGCAAAAATTCTGGGAGCGGTTACAAAAAACTCGATTCTTTATAGAGATATGCCCATAAAACATCTTGGAGATTCAAGGGATGCCTAAAGAGATATAGCTAAAGAAGAAAGACAAGTAGCTCAATGGAGCAACAAATTTTTTTTCGGCAGTTGAGGTCATGTGACGGGCTTTGCCCGGATTGGGACTGGTCACTAGGACCACTCCGTCTCCAAGGTAAGGTAGTGGCAAAGCAACGCTCCTGGATAGACGAAAGGGGACTTTAAGGGGGTATTAAAGGGGGTACGTACCAGATGAGGGAGTACGATACAGGAGAAGAGAGCCGGAAGAAAGGATTTATTCTGTTGTGATTGGCAAGTATTAGCCAAGATAGCCACGTGATACTCATCATGCACGGGCTCTAGTATATCTCTGCTGCTCAGTAGACTTAGTAGAAATAACACCTTTTATTAAAATGTATAACCCACTACTTAGTTCGTGGACTTTATTGGTAAAGGGAAGCTTATGCAATAATGAAGGATAAAAGGATGTCAATTCGACTACTCTATTAAACACAGGTACCAGACTCCTTTTAACCCCAATAGATAGCCCGTGCGGGATCTCCTATTAACAGCAGTAAACAACGCTAGCACAGGGTATACGCAATCTCCATTCGCCAAACACCAGTCGGTCGGGACTACTGATTATCGAGCCTAGTAGGATTGATAAAGTGTATCCCAACACAGAAATAATAGAAAACTCAACAACCAAACCCTTCATCAATTACTTCCATTAACCATCACCTGACTTATCTCTGTACTCCATAATTTCAACACCTTTTCATATACATAACTATCTTAATACAACATATTCTCATATGGCTAAAGGGGGGAATAAATACTAGCATACGCGGAAGACATAAAGGACAGGATACGATACGGTAGTTTAGCTTTCCCCAAGGAAAAATTATTCAATTCCATTGCGTTAACGACTTCAAGCACTTCTGAATTCCTTCAACCTTTTACAGGTCAACAGGGAATGTGGACTGACCTACACAGGGGATGGCACCGTGCAATCAAAACATCACCACAAAAGAGCTTAGCAATCTGCGAGAAGTAGCTATGTAAATGCACTTTCTACGTATGTAAAGTCTCGTATTGGTTTTTTTTTCCTTTCCTTTTCTTTCAAATGTGTAGAAGCCCAGGGATTAGACCGTGGCGTATTTTGTCTCAGTAGGGACTGAATAGAGCCGCGCGTCAAGCGCGTGGCTCGCTAGACGTAAAATAAAGATCATCATCATCATCATCTAACACAATAACTAATTAATGCACTTCAGACGAGCAAGGAAAAGACACAACCTTAGAGCCATCGTGAGCATACAAGGATATCTAACTTCGACGTAGTCTTCTTATCGACCCCAAACACTATTGGGCAGCTAACATAAAGAATATCCAGCAAAAATTGAGTACTCAAGTGCCGTCGATTAGTAGACTGACAAGATTGACTTGGGGGGCGATATTCATCAAATCCAAACCACTGAAATTTTCGATAATGTGACCAGCCCTACCGTATGGATCCTGAATATGGGCAGAGGCCGAGCCAGCAGGAAAGATATCCGAATAGATAGTCAAACCCCTCAGAAGTATTCAATTAAAACGCTTGAAGTATGTTGTAGGTACCTAAAATTCTACTAGCAGCAGAGTGCTATCGCCCGAATCTTCTGCTCTCCTTATAGAAACAGACCTGAAACAAAGGAGGATCCAGCAAGTCGGACTATAAGCCAAACTTTCTGTTCAAAGGAAAATATGATCGATGTATAAGAGGATAAAGCTGCCCGCAATCTGGAGAGAGGCCCTACATGCTTCAAACAGGATCAGAGATATCGCCAATTGGACAAAAACTTGCAGAAGGGAAAAGTACAAGGGGAGGCAGAAAGAAGCTGGAAATATAGCGGTCTTTCAGGGGTAGAAGATTCATGGAAAAGCCAGGACAGGAAAAAGCGCTCTGGCCGACTAGCATCAGTCGATCCAGAACATGGGAAAGCGGCAAATATATTTATTGATGCACAAATAGGAAGTACAAAACTGAATTTCAAAGATACACCATTAAACATCCACCGTAACCTAACCAGGGTCCAAAGCAGTGTCGCCATTCAGCTAAGAAGCGAGCATGTCGGGCTCAATTCTTAGCTGCATAGAAGAAAAATACCCGGATTAGAAAAGCCTAAACTTCGATGTGGATATTCGTCACAAAATGTCAAGCACACGGCTTGGCGTGTCCGCAGTGGGCAGGTGGAAGAGGCGACTTTCTCCGACAAGCTAAAGACAGGGTATTTGAAGCAACGATTAACAGTCCAGAAGATGTGGCTAGAATCACACAGTGGATACTAAGCAAAGGATAGATAGACTGTTTCGAATTTCAGGAGAAGTCAAGGTAGTGATATCAGAAGAATAAACTGATAAGGAAGAAGAGAGGAGGGAAGTCACACTCGGTAAACAGTGTAAATTGCATCTCCCGAAGGTAAATGAAACAAGTTGATAGAATTATAAGCAGGTAGAACCAGAGAATTTTCACCAAATTTGGTCTCCGCCTTTGTAAATAATCAGGATAGTCACCTGTCTGGACCCATAGGGTGCCTGATAGGGTTAATTGAAATCAAGCTCAAAATTATTTTTAATAATAATTAGGTGTTAAAGCATCATAATCAGATATCTGCATCCACATTATACGCTTTAAAAAAAGGCTATTTAAAATAATTTTATTTTGAATACTACACATACTATTAAACATGTTATATTTTTATAGGTAGGAGTTGTTAGATCGTACGCAACTTTGAAGTGCAAAGAGCAAGGGCCGTGATTAAGTACATTCCCAATCAGAAAATTGTGGAAGTTTATTTCGTCTCTGCTTAGAATTTCGTCCTATTACGAGGCTGATTGAAGGCAACCTTTTCTCCTTTCTCGAATACACAGATTCTCTATGAAAAAATCCGCAGACACCCATCCCTTACTCATTCTTCCTCGGAAAGCGGATTTTGCTGTTCAGCTATAACTCCACTTACAAGTGATAAAAGAGGAATCCTAAACTTCCGATAGAGAGGTATCATTATCTTTGGTTCGACCTCTTTTGGGATAACGGGTGTCTTCTTCCACGTGTTGTGAAGTATGTGAGGTCCGAAGTTTGTTTGAATGGTATCAATGTATTCATATACTTCTTGGCCAATCTTGAAGTGGTGGTCAAAGAATTGAGCAATCAATTTTCCATTTTCCATTGTCGGTAGAAGAGTCGTCTTTGGATACCAAGTTTTCTTTGGACCCCTTTCAAACAAATGCAAGTTCCCTTGAAACAATGCCACTGCCTGCCCTCTAGTTTCTGCGTCAGAGCCCAAGATAGCATCTCCATCATCCAACACATCATTTAATTGTATAGGCTTGTCCACAATCACGTTGATTGATCCAGTCTTTCCCGGCGAGAGAAAACCCCGGTACTTACCAGTAAGCGAAATCTCATTTCTAGATGCCAGACTAGCTATCACCATCGGAGAACATTTCTTATATTTTACGACCTGAGAAAGTTTGAAATTGGCTTCCGTATTTCCATTTTGAGTTATAAATCGTAGGTGTTGGAGACATTTGTTCTCTGAGTCAGATGATCGGGTCAAGGTTTGTGGCAATGGCGTTAAACCTTTGGTCATCACGACTTTTATTTGATTGAGCGTATAAAAGTCTGAACAATATGCAGTTATTTGTGTTTGTTGTTTGTAAGTATTATAGTATTTTGTAAGTGGATAAATATCTATATCAGTAGATGGAAACACAGGTGCAACCGAGGCCTCAAATAGGCCATATTAAGGCTCGTCGCCGCCACCTACGATGACTAATCGGCTCGGTGGTGTTGGTATTTCGCTGATGTCATAATGCGTCTTTGACGTCCTGAATAGCACAAAAGCATATAAACAAAGCATCTGTGCCAGGATTCCAATAATATTTCTAGTCCTCTTTAGTCTAAAACATAATAACTCAGCAGAGAATAATTTACGAATGATTTTGTTAGTGAATAAGAGTGTTGCAAATAATGTGTTCTTCGAGAGATGAGATTGATAGAGTACCGCGGAAAATTTAGAGTATTTATCAAGGGAATGAGGGCAAAAAAGGTCTTGGAAGTAACTGCCTGGTTAATTGATTAATGAATATCGCAAAATTTAAAGCTAGTTGATAAATAGCATCTTTAATTGACGTGCTACGAGTCGTGTGGACCTGGTTAACTATTAAACAATAAATGAAGAAGGGATCAGATGCGGAGCACACGAAGGAGTGCAAATTCAATAGGCAAGGAACTCAAATTAAATATTCATCCTCACAGGAGATGATTAGATTAGATGATGTTTTATTGTACTAATTGAGTCATGGACTATCTAACACATTGGGCTCCTTTCTGGCCAAGGCCACACCTTGTCGGTGCTCCTATCTTCCTCTGTTACTTGTAAGATCATTGATATATTTTCCGTGATGAATATCCATTAAGCTTATCATTTACCCGTGGAATTGAACCACCTTTTTTACAGAACCTTCTACCAAAAAAAAAAGGTAGCAATGGAAACTGCGTGCGCGGGAAAAAGTTTCAAAAACCTGCAGCCCAGCCAGGCGAGGCCTAGACATCGGGACCACATGAGGTGCGAATATTCATCTATATCTCCCTTCTTTGTAACAGTCGAGGTCGACTTGATCCAATCCACCATCTCCGTATCGGGTGCTGGGTACGCTCCGGAAATTCATCGGATGACTTTTCCTCCATGATCAAGGGTTGGTGACGAGTAGGGCTTCGACCCTACCATCTAATCTGATGGTAGTTAGCTTCATAGTATTGGTGATAGGGGGATGTGCTTAGGGATGAAGACGATACAGATAGCGGAAGCGAATGGGAATCCTCGTCGAAGTGAGGACTTTGTTATTCAATCTCAGCTCTGCAAACTCTACAGCGAGAGCTAGAGGTTCGCCGGGGGCACTACTGAAAAGTATTGAAAATAGTCCCCCAACATTTTGAACTACATATTCAGACAATTACACATCGACTCATAGATTGAATTGGAAGAAACGGCGCTAATAGTCTGGAGATAATCAACAATTACAAGGTAGCGACTACTGAAAGTACGTGGCTGAGGGGCTGAGTTCTAGTCCAGAAGGAAAGAAGTCGATCAGAATATTCTAGAATAGGACCAGGTGTTACAAGTACTTGATAGTCATGTCTGAGCTTCTTTATCTCAAAAAGCTTACTAAATCAATTTAGTCTCTAACAGCTCGGATTCCGTCTTACCAACGGAAAAATGTTATGATCTGAGACAACGAGGTAGTCGAGGCTAGGGCATCGCGTGTGGCTCAAGGCCACAGCATACATCACTAGTGTACTGGTTAGGCGAGCATGTATATAGTTTCATAGATGTACCCACAATAAATGGACACAGGTTTAGTCTTATACTTTCTGTCCATATACCTACAGCATAGTATTGTATGAGGTTACTCACTGTCAACCACAAATTATAACATCATCCACTCCTCATCACTCCGCAATGTGACTTCCGCATAGCTCATAACCACAACAAAAAACCAGTTACCACTGCACAAATACACTACCCTCGAAATAAAATCTTGATAATTGAAATCAGTCGTTACCATAAGTGGCTTCCTAAATAATGCACAGGAATTTAAAAGGTACAAAGGGTAGCATGAACGCAGTCCTTGCAAGCTGCTTTAACAAGAAAGACGGGTTTTCATTTGTCGCCAATGACGAATCTGCTTGAAGCTGAGCGTGATTATACAGTACTAGCAACATCTCAAGAATACAAGCTATGTCAGCACAATCATGAATAACCGAGCTCCCTCGCCTGAGTAGGATCACAGACATAAAACATTCTTTCGTGAGTGTAGAGTTATCTTTGGTAATTGGGAGCCAGCACGCTTTAAAAATTTTAGTCTCACTGGAGTTGAAAGTCAAGCGGCAATTCGACTGGCCTGTGGGCGAGGGACGGCTTTGACTCAATTTCAAATGGACTAGATATGAACGCGGGAGTAACCAATTTGGTTACTAGGCATGAGGGGACAACCCAACATCAAAGAAAAATGATAGTCTAAATCAAAGCCGTTGATAACCACGCGAAATGATGGCCACGAAGCACACCACATGTTTCTAAATTATTAGGAATGACCATCATGTCAGATATCTTTACAGTCAGTAGGCTCAAGTTTCAAAATAGCAGCATCTCGAATCGCATGCCTCGGCTGTTGGATCTATCAGTACAGCAAGAGCACATTTCGTGGTGTGTAAGACCACAAAGGAAAAATCAGCGTGAAGGCTCGTCACAATATTGGTCAGTGATAACACTGTTTACGACGGTTAGTTTGGGAATTACACTCAGTACCGTGCGCTAGATCATTATGTACTGTTGCGAACGTTCCAATCAACCCAGCGCCGAATAACTCCATCTACAGCCTTGACTCCCATCCGGCTGGCTTCCACTTCAAACCACTCTCTGTGCTCCTTTCCACATGTACTACACTTATCATAAAGGGCTTTCTGTGGAGATAGCTCAATGTGGATTAATCTCTCGACCTTGTGTGCGTGGGGAACTTGGGTGACTTGATACTGTGGAGTTTGAGAAGCAGTGGGCTGATAGGGATAATATCGAATTAGAGAAAGATTATAGCCACACTGTTTTTTCCATTGATTTAGCCTTCGATAGACATTCTGCGCGCGTCCAATTTTTAGTAAAATCTTTTTATCGACGGTGTGCTCAGCAAAGTCTTTCAAGACATCAAGAGGCTTATGGGCGCTAGTATTTGAGGATGATGATGGAGATGCAACTGTTGGATTTGATAGCGAGTGATGTGATTCGGGCACGAGCCAAAACATGTAAATAAAGCCTTGGTCGTCTCTTTCGGAAACCGGCTTGGCCAGCTCTGCCAGCAGCAACGATGCTATGGTAGGTGAAGTCGACGTGGGTATAAGAGATAGAAGCTCCCCCGTCTGTGATTGGCGGGTGGGATTATGCGGTGGCTGTAATGGTTGGGTCGCGTGGTTGCGGTGAGCCTTCTCGGGTATTTTTGAGCGAGGGTCTACGGCAAGCGATGGTCTCACCTTATTCTGGACGGGTCTAGGTCGCGGAGAATCTTCAGCCGCGACTATGCAGCAGAGCCATGAGAGTGAGCTCGACTTGGATGCAGCGGGAGGACGGGGTGAACTTTGAGCAGCATAGTTAGTCTGGGTAGGGGATATTCTAGCAGCCGAGATTTTCTCCGGCTTTCGCGCTGGCCCCCCAGCATTGAGATCTAGTAAGCCCAATCGATCCACAATCGTATCGACGCTTGTGCGCTCTTGAATCGTGGAGAAGGTAGCGTTTCCCGTGTCCACAGCCCCGTGCTGGGACGGCATCTGATCTTTATGTTGCCAGCAATACCTCTTTACAGCGGTTACTGAGGTAGCCGTCATTTTCAGAGAAGATTTCTGCGTCTTTGGTATGGGTCTTCTGCAAGCTTTTCCATCATTAGTAATGCCACTACACGTCGTTACGGGATTCTTGGAATCAGCACGCTGAAGTAATGATTCAGGGGTGTTGGGAATATGAGGCATGACTGTCGGTTGATGGAAATTCAGGATACTAAATCAACTGAACTGTATTTTTTCGTCTTTTTTTCGCCTTTTTTTCGCCTTTTTTTCGTCTCTCTTACTCTCCCTAGATTGATGCCGCCCTGGTCCGAGTCCCAGACATCTCACACTCAATCAAGCGATTATAGCTATGCCGCCACTGACTACGCACAACGTGATGGATTTCGGAGGAGGAATGGTATTGCTTGCAACTGAAATTTCCCATACCTGGCAAGTGCAGAAATTTGTCTCCGCTGCAACCCCGCTTTTGTTTCCCCTGCCTCTCTATTGTGTCGCCAAGCCAGGCGTATCGTGAGCAACATTGACCTTCGATTTCGGCTGCGGACACTTTGGCCTAGCGGTCCGACTTGTCATTTCATGATAAAAGCTGACATGTAGCAGCGAAGCAGGATGTGTTACGTAGGATTTAACATCGCGAAATCAACAGCCAATTATGAGAGCTATGTCTATGACCTGATAACAATCTCCTCGGATTACGTGTACCTCTATCTATCCCGTAATTAACACTTTCTTCCTAAATCCAAACACCCCGCCGACAGGTTGAGCCTGGATCCCAACGCGAATTCTATCGAGATTCTGGGCTCTTTTCTCAACACCTGTCAGTGGTTTCCCTGGTGACCTTCCTGCTCTCACAGTAAAGTCTGTGGAGTCATGATTCAGTAACACCATCCTCGATTTGATGAGAATTCCCCATCGCTTTCGCTATCTGTATCGTCTTCATCCCTAAGCACATCCCCCTATCACCAATACTATGAAGCTAACTACCATCAGATTAGATGGTAGGGTCGAAGCCCTACTCGTCACCAACCCTTGATCATGGAGGAAAAGTCATCCGATGAATTTCCGGAGCGTACCCAGCACCCGATACGGAGATGGTGGATTGGATCAAGCCGGCCTCGACTGTTACAAAGAAGGGAGATATAGATGAATTTGCGCACCTCATGTGGTCCCGATGTCTAGGCCTCGCCTGGCTGGGCTGCAGGTTTTTGAAACTTTTTCCCGCGCACGCAGTTTCCATTGCTACCATTTTTAACCTTTTGGGGTAGATGGTTCCGTGGAAAAGGTGGCTGAATTCCACAAGCAAACAATGAGATTAATGGCTATTCATCACGGAAAATATACCAATGATCTTTCAAGTAACAAAAGAGAACAGGAACGCTGTACAGGGTGTGGCCTGGGTCAGAGAGAAGCTCAATATGCTAGATAATCTATGACTCACGTAGTACAATAAACATACATCTCTCTCTCTCTCTCTCTCTCGCAGAAATCACTTTTTTTTATTTCATTTATTATGTATCCAGCTATCTAGCTATGACACATGACCGGTGCTATGTATACACGTTGGATGACTCTTTGAACGTTAGAGACACTCATACTCTGGATTTCATTTGCAAATACCACTATGAGGTATGTTCGCTTACACAAACAGTCAGCCCTCCTCCGTAAGTACCCACCAAAGGGGATTTCAAAATCTTTGATTATCCAAGCATGCCTTCGTCATCCATGTACACCAGCAACGCGAGAAATGTAGTTTAGTTTAGCCAGATTTGAACCAGCGATCTACTGTCTCAAGTGGGATATGTGTCCTAGCTATCCGGACCTTACTTGAGAAACCGGCCAGGACCAAGTAACACCGCACCATCCAACCACGGCGGTATTTGTAGTGTCGCCTGCACTCTCTCAACCGAAGCCTTGGCGCGCACAAAGCTCAATTTGTAAAAACTACTTACCAAAATCCGAAATTTCACGCCCGTCGAGAATGTATCCATCCTTCTCATCATCTTGTGAACTTGTCCTGAATCCTCTCACGTCCATCCCAAAGGACAGTCTCCCAGATTTGTACGCCACACTTTGTTTCCTCTGTCGGGTGTAAATATTGGCATGGGCATGTATTTGGTGACCGGCTGAGGCCAAAGAAAGTCGGCGAGAGGTATGATCGTTGGAATGAGGATGTACTAGGTCGTACTTGTAGACTTGATGAAACTTAGTTGAGAACAGGACTCTTTGGGAGTGAAAGATTGACATAGTGGAGTAATTCGAATTTTTGCCTCGTGGGCCAACTTCTTTGATATTGCGAAATTTGACTGAACCTGGCTCTGGGAGAATATTTCACTCTCAGGTTCGTAGAGGACACCGCGTACAGGTGTTCAGTCTTGCCCTCCTCATAAATCACAAAGGTGATTTGAAAAACTTATTGGTTTGTAATCCTTATATTTAAGGCCCATAGGTCTATCATCATGTAAGCGCCGCCAAAGACGAATTCTTTACCTCCCAGTGGTGCCGGTGTAATCGCTCAGAATGCTCTGCATATATGGGATAGCCAAGAAGAATAGCATCCAAATCGAAGTCGAAAGCACTCACGAGCACATCTAAAATCGACGACTTCTCGTCAATGTCGGATCTATCATTCTCGCGCGAGCCCTCCACCTCAATCTTGCTACACCACCTCGCCTCAAATACCGATAATGGTGTTACTCCAATTGCAATCGGGCATTTGCCTCATCAAAAACCGGCCATCTACCACTACACATGTACGATGCTATGTATAACCATGAGGAGGTCACAAATGGGCATGCTAGGACGCACATTTTTCGATTGTCTTCGACTTACAAGTGTCTGTGGACGCAGAAGCAACGATCTCGGAGAGTGCAACCGACACCCTAAAAATAGGCAACGATGGAATGTGTTTTGGTCAGCCTCCTGGTCGTCATCTCCCCGAACTGATGTTTGGGTAGCCTGGACACCTATCTCACTCAAGGAAAAGATGACTGCTATGGAATCAGATGTAGATTTGTGCCACGTGATATTCGTACCCTAACACGTCACTCATTCTGTATATAGCTAAACGGAACTATTGCCGAGTTCCGTTTCCTCTTTGTAGACAATCTGTCTCACTAGATTTGACCTCGTCCATCTATTTTCCTTTACCGTGACAGACTGTGAGTCTTTATCTCGAACGGTAAATACAGACAAAATGGCAAAGGCATATCAGGGTAGCCAAAGGTTTTCCTGTTTTCCCATTGGTGGATATTAACGGTTGAGGGATGGATGAAAGTCCCTAGCACCTAGGTTTCGAGTGGTATCAGCGAATCCACCCACTACATGAGTAGTCCAAATGTCAAACTGAGTTATCGTCGTGTATAGTCACTGGAGAAACTAGTTTTCTCCGTGTCATTCTCCTTGAGTGCAGGGCTTGTGCCCGTCACGAATAAATATTCATATTCATATCACCATGTAAGCGGCGTAAAGACATTCGACCAGTTAATGTATAATTATATTTTACTGAATCAATACCGCAACACTAAGGTAATCATAATCATAAATATAAAACTTAGCTTCAGTTACTTGTCGACTTTAGACTAAGCTGGGAATTTGGGGAAGTAAATTGGTCGCGATAAGCAGAACGAGTGGTTTCTTTCAGGCAACAATTTCAGTCAATCTATTTATAGAGATGAAACCTACAGCTTGTCATCAAAATAGTTGAGAAACACAAATGTGTTTCATGTCACATTCGTTCATCAAGGGCATCTATTATCTTGGAAGGCCACTTATCACATACTCTTCTTTAGTCATGCAATGGAAGGATCTGATATATACAAATTTTCTTTATTGATAACTGATAAAATACAGATTTGAATCACGTCACTTACCATTATAGTTTACTGGAAGTATCCAGCCTATCAAATTTATTCGAATAAAATTAATAACCATAAATGCATCGATGAAATAGTCCTATATAGTATCCTCACATTCGACTGACTCTCATTTATGACAGACAAGTAAAGGCATCTATATTTAGAATCTGCATCATGGCGCGATATTGCTCTATAATATTTGAAGATCATAAGTCATATATTTTAAAATTGGAAAATAAACACAAACCCTTATTTTAGTTTTTACGAAAAGAAAATCATTGACAAAACATCGAAATCGACGAAATACTCTCTACCTAGAATGGGAGGTATGTTTCTTTGATATTCTCTATACTGGCCATGGGAACCGCAACTCTTTCCCCAAATTTGAAAGCAGCACAAGTAAAGTCAACTTTACGAAACGAATGTATTACTTAAGCAACTTGACGTCAACCAAAGCAGAAGTATGCGTTGATTGAAAGATTGGCGTTTGTATAGGCCAAAATGAAGTCCAAGAAGTCTCCGTCTAGAAAATACGGACAAAGTATTAATTGAGTTCCGACAAAAATGCTCGTCACCAGTGTGTCATCAAATGAATCAGTTCCTCCAACATTAAATCTGACATGTCCAGTACAGCAACCCGTAAAGCAGTACTCAAAAAAAGACGGAAGACTTCCTCTAGTCATATTCAAAAGAGAATGATGTATTTAATTGATTCGGTGTCATTTCTCTCAAGAAACTCAGCAAGGCTCAAATCATTAAATTTCAAACTTGGGAGATATTAAGAATAATCCGGTGGGATGATTAAGACTATTAGAAATAGATTTCTCAGAATAATTTCACTCAATACAAGTTCTGACTAGTTATCTATAGAATGAAATCTATACTGATAAAACGCCATTTTAATAATTTATTTTGAAATAAAGCTTAAATATTATGATAACCGGCACTACCAAGGATACTATGTTTTGATCAATTTTTTCAATCAATATTACAACAGAAATTTATTACTATAGAGCTATAATGATGCTCGCATCTGAATGAGGAAGGTGAGGATAGCGATTCACAATGACAAAAGTGATAATTAAGCAAACTAGCCAGCGTTCATAATCCTAGCTACTAACTATTATCAAAAACGAAAAAGCGAATAGAAGTTCGGCAGCATGACAAATAGCGCGAATAGACTATCAAAGTATCATCCATAGCTGTCGAATCTAGTTTGGATACTAGGATCATTGCTACTAATTGATAATCGCAAATCACCAAATTTAGAACACCATAGTACGACTCTTTTTCTACTAGTTTCGCGGATTCGCACATAAAACATACCGGGACTTTCAGATAGACCAACTCGACGTAGCTGGAAGTTTTATGCAAACCCAAGAATTAGATCGATAGGCTTGATCGCTATGAGATAACCTCGGTTATACGGGAATAAATGATAATAGTAATGACACATGATTGAGATATGTCTATATTTGCAAGACAATGAGCAAGTTATAAGCCAATAAATACCAAAAAGGAAACATACGCTTTGACAATCCAGCGATATTACCATACGGCCTCATTGCCGTATTGCCGTATTGTGGTACTGCCGAAATGCCTCATTGCCGTATTACCGTATTGCCGTATTGCACGTATTCACACATGTGATAAGCCAATTTATTTCCAGAACTAAGGTAAATTGGTACTCACATGATTTCAAAGTAAAGAGTATTTAAGTCTACCTCATCTAGCCATTCATTTTTCCTCCTCTCTATCACAACTAACATTATAACTTCGAAAGACCGCTGAACAACACACAACCACACCTCCACGATCATATCATACTCAAACTCAAACATTATAGCTTCAGAAATATCTGCAATTCCATCTTGAACGCTCACTCACTCACTCGCAACACTCTTCATCTAAATTCTACCCTCTTCAGCTCTATTATCATCCATCTTTTTGACAATTGCGATTATCGCCACAATCTCGTCTCACAGTTGTATAACTGATAGATTACATACAATAAATCTATAGTAAGTTACCATGAAATATAAATATGAGTGCAGAAAATTTATTAATCTAAAGCATACTAACCTCTTATCTAGTCTCTACATTCGCTAGCATTTCTTAGACAAGTCAATAGGTATCAGTACTTGTACATTCGCTTAAACCCACCTGCATACCGACAACTATTAATACCTTTATTTCAACAAACTCAACTCCTTTCCACGAGCTCGTGGGCAGAAATCGGGTTGATACTTTATAATAAACGGTAAAATTATCTGTATAGATCATTTGTCGGACCAAATTTTCAGTGGAATATCCAGATAAGGTAGAGCTATTCTTCAAGACTTCGTATTGTGATTTCTTATTCTCACTAGCTCCAGTCATATTACACGGTCTGACCTTCATTCATCTTTTTGACAAATCTCATCTATACTCGAGTAAGATGGAATCGGTCATGAAATTTCCGTATCACTCAATGGCTGTATGTGACAGTGACTCACGACGACCTGTCTCAACACATTTGGTAGATACTCCTGGTGGACCTTATATTTATGGTACAGGGGCGCCTCTAAGGTTCTTTGTCTCTTATACCGTCGACTCACCAGCCATTGTAACAACTAACTTGCGGGCTTTGGTCAAGCGCGACTGGCCAGAGTCCCTCGAAGACCTGCCGGCTCCCATTGAATATGATGATACGGAAGCAATGGCGGAAAAGCTCGCCACTTTTTTCGTAAACCAGAGTGACCCCGATGATGTGAGCGAAATACCACGTCCCACATCACCATATGATCTCTTCATGGGATTTAATGCAGTCCATATCTACCAATATGGAATTGATTTCTGTTATCAGGTTATGTGCCATATCAGTCGTCTTGGAGAAAGAACGCAAACGCCAGTGGTAGAAGAAAAAGAGACTTATACCCTTGATTGGGCAAAGAGAAATATCGGCCACTTGATTCAACTACCAAGGATTGAAGATGAAGACGATGAGTTTGAGGCAGAAACTAAACTGTGTGGACCATCAAGAGGCATTTCACCTGCCGAAGCTCATAGTTTAAAGCAGAGAATGAAGTATTATCGAAAGCTTCTCCTTGATGATACAAAAGCACCATCCTCCGAAATCCTACTTTTCGAAGATGCTGTCCATCCTATGAGTGATTCCGAAGATGATGACGCACTTCACGACGAACAAGCTGGAGATGATGATTCTGATGATATATCACAGCAATCTGATTATGACGAAACCAGCTCATTGTGAGTTGCTCCAGTGAATAATGTAGGCTGATGGTACCATATTACTAACGACTCATTTAGTGGCTACACAACGGACCAAACAAGTTCTCTGGATCTGATGATGCCTTATCTTGGAAAGTTTAGATCAAAAATACCAGTATTGATCAGTCGAAAGAGTCCAATCTTTGTGACTGATACTACCGGAGAAAGTCTTGATTCCTCGAACGTGGATGTAGAGAGAAATGATATAAGACCCTTGCCATCTAAGATTCCAAGGCCAATCAAATTATTTTCGTCATCAAAGAGGCCAAAATCATTATAGACTCTATCCAATGGCTAAGAAACTAAACTGGCACGCTTCTTTGTTGGTGGTTACACGGTGCACGACTATGTGGTGAGATGAGTCAAATTTGTAATTTCATTGATATACAAAGAGCGAGAAGTATATTCCCCATGAGGTTGTGGTATAACTTATCCAACTATAACAGCACTAATGCTGAATATAGAGCCAAGGATGATTTCTTCCAATAGTTCCGCGCTTCACATCAGATAATTTTGCGACAGATAAATCAAAGATTCCGATATTATTGTGAAGATATTTTTCGAATTTACTAGATCTCTGTGCCGACTAGAAGAGAGCACAGATTAGAAGATGACCAAGTCTAATCAGATAAAGACTCAACTCATAAACACAATTCATGCAACTAGAAAGTAATGGAGGAAAAGCAACAAGATATCTATAGATTTAAACATCGACGTAATTCAGACTTGGTTCGTGCACGTATAAAGTAAACATAAAATACCCGTAAATGACAATTGAAGTAGAGGCGACTAAGGTAGGAAGATGAGTGGAAGAAAAGACTAAAGGGTGTAAAAACAAATTAATCGATATTAAACAATGAAAATGTGGCCGTGAAGGGTAGATCCTATGCATAAAAGATGAGGGCTGTAACTGGCCATTCTTCGCGTTGGGATTTTAAGGTAAATGGCGTGTAATAAGGTTTGGGTATCTGTGGCTTTGTTGGCATTTGGAGTTATCATTGAAGCTTGGAAGGAGTTTTGAAGTGTTCTCGTTTGACTGATCAACTTCAAATGGTGATCATTTCTGTTGGTAGGATAATATTAAGGAATAATCCGAATTGTGTTTGGGAGATGTTTGGATTGTCTTCCTTCGGGGGGGGGATTTTTTTGGTGATGTTTCAATGTAATTCAGGCTATGAATGAAAACTAGTTTAAGAGTTTTACTTCAATAAATATGAATTGTATTCAAGAAATAATGACCCCTAACTCATTGATGTTGTAGAGCGTATTGATTCAAGTATCTACCGAAATGAAACAAAGTACAGAATTTGTAGTTACTTGTGTATCAACAACATTACCTACTTGATAACCCCAATTATTCTTGCTTCTAACGCATTTCTTATTTTCAATTGTATCGTTCAAAAACATGAAGGTTATCAATCTGATGAAGTAGAGCCGAGCGATTAGATGCTTGAAAAAAGTGACGATGATATTTAGCTTTTAAGGTAGTATTCTAGAAGTAGCAGGTTCAGATTTGAATCTTTAAGCCATCTGATTACTTCTTAAATATGGAAAGCTCATTATCTTTGACATGGACAAAGTATAAGACGTGCGAGAAAATAAAGATGCGATGAAAACCATGAGTGTCGGAATAGCATGAAAATGACTTTCAGGTAATCCAGTAAATATCTGTAACGAATCTAAGCAGGTCGTAGTGTAATTTTAGAAAGATTTAAAAATATAAAGAGAGAAGTAACACAACTGCGGGTAATGACTATTTATACTCCTTCCAGCTCATCCAGTACGTGTTCCGTTGGTGAGCATGACAAATTGCTCCGCCATTGCCTGTCGTTATCTTAATTTGCCATCTAACTTGACTTTCTCACTTGGCAATTGTACTTCGCCGTCTCACATTCCTTCCAAGCTCCAGTGTCATGTGGCGAGGTGAACCTTAGTCGCTTGATACAAGATAATATGGATCACTCTCCCTACTACACTCCGAGACTCCGCTTAGATCTGCACCTAGACTAAACCAGGTCAAACTGTAATAATATGAGCTTTCAATCTAGCATCGAGAAGTGCCCATTCTTTTTTGTATTTTCAAATCTGTTATTGTGCATTCTGCTATCTATTTATGACATGTAATCAATACTTTGTGTACATGCTGGTTGAATCTTTAGACCTTTGAGAAACTTAAACTGTAGTTTTAATTCTCAAATACCATGGTGAGATTTGTTTGCTTGTACAGAAGATCGAACCTCCTTCATGAGAATTCACAAAAGTTAAGTTTCAAATCTTTGCTTATCAAAGGAAGTCTTTATTATCTATTCATACCATCACCCAGAGTAATGTGGTTGTGGAGTGCCGGATGTGAATCAGAGGTCTGCTGCCTCTGGTTGGTTAGGTTTCCAAGCTATGCAGAGTTTACATTGCTAATCGACGTAGATGAGTCGACCCTGAACCATCCAATATTGGCGATATTTTTGACACTAAATAGACCCCGGCAAAAAAACACAACATTTTTGCCATAAAGCTGCGCAGCCTTCCACGCTGCCCGTATCATCAAATTGACATCGTGATTATTATTTTTACATCTTCATTACCCTCCCACCATCATTTCGCTTTCCGTGCTCCAACATGGCGAGTGTAGGTGCTGGTGTGGATAAATCCAGCCGTTTCGACGCGTCGCAAAATGCGACAACGGCATCATCAAACAACGGTAGCGAAGCGCAGATAGCTCCAAAGGATAGAAACCTTGAAATCCTGGGGAAACTATTGTAACAGGTTAGACTCATCGTGATGGGAGAGATGGATGGGGAGGACTTACCCTCAATGGAGGATGTGAACGAGGCCGTGGAGGCCTTCAACGCACACAAAAGGGCCTGGACGTAAATGACCCAGAAAACGTCTCCCATCGAGGAGAGGATGATGGCGCTCGAGGAGGTTGTCAAAAAGAGCCTCGCGGATCCCGCCCGAAAAGCTGCACCAGCAGTGGTTTCGGGCGCGCCGACACCAAGGAGCTACGCGTCGGTCGTGGCTCAGCAAATGACGAAGACAGCGGTTAGAATAAGAATCGATGGCGCACAGAACTTGCAGCCACAAGAGCTTCTCTCAAAGGCACAGCAACATATTCAAGGCGCATTTGCAATTCGATAGATGCGAAGCAACGACACCGAGGTGTTTGTCCAGTCGGCGTCCCAGAGAGACGCGGCGCTTAACATGCGACAACCAACGGACTTTAAAATTTTGCGGCAAGACTTTCCTGTTGAGGTTTCCGGAGTCCCACTGCGGACAAGAATTGAGGGTGGCAGAGATGCCAACAACTACGCCATCATCAGGGAGATTGAGACGGCGACGAAGGCACGTATTCCAGGCCTGGTAATTAGCAGAATAAGATGGCTACATGATGGAAAGGAGCATCAGCGATCGAAGAAAAACGGTCGCAATCGAGGTTCAATTGTGGTCAGCTTCCCATCGGAGGCAATGCAAACGGAGGTAGTTTGACAGGGCCTTGAAAGTAACGCCATGCTCTTCACCGCGCAGGTGTGGCCACCAAGGGCTCAGTCAAAGCAGTGTTATAACTTCAGCCAGTGGGGACACACGCAGGCGCCGTGTTGAAAGGCAGCTTGATGCGGTGAGTGCGCAGGCGTTCACCAAACTCGGGACTGTCCGAAGAAAATGGTTTCTTGTGCGAACTGCGGCAAAGAACACCTTTCATGGTAAAAGCAGCGTGTCGTACCTACCAAGCCTACAAGGGAAGTGTGGAGAAGGCTCAGATTGAGTTGCTATCGAGAACGGCGGAAATTTGGAATGAAAAACTAACAACGGCGTCAGTACGAACAGTCGGAACGACTGATGACCAAGGATTCACTTTGGTCACCAGTAAGAAGGCTGAAGAACTCAAAAGACGGCCAGGACGACCATGTAAGGTAGTCGAAGCCCCAGTGGCACCAACAACCCCCACTACAATAGCACCACCATCGAGGCCAACTCTTCGAACACTTCGAAGACCAACGCCGAGTCTCAGGGATAAGGGTTTGACAGTGTCTCACGGGGTGTGTTGTATAGCCTAGTGAAGATCTAGGTGGTAAGTGAAGATAATAAATGGGTCAAATGTGTCAAATGGATGACAGGTCTTCTCTAGGAAGAGATGAATGGGCAACTAGTTGCAGTAGATGTTACATGTAGGTCTTGCTAATGAAGAACTCGGAAATGGATATATGGTCTTCCCGAAGAAGAGATGGGTAAACAAATGTATTGTTAAAGGTAAATAAAGAAGACGTTGCGTGAGGAGTAGATCTCTCTCAAGCTGAACTATCATATACAAGAGTAGAAGTGTTAGACTCTACGAGTCAATTGAAAAATGTATGAAGTAAAAGTAAAAAGTGTCAATTAATACCTGGCTGCCATTTCTCTTACTGATACTATCTAGATTATGTACGTCTAGAAAATGGCAAATGTTCTATGTGTCCCCAACTTGTCCCCATAGACCAAGTTTCTCATGGTTTGGAACGAAATATCTCTAGTCAGAACAGATAGAGTTCTTATTGCTACAGCACAAGCAAAACACCTTTTTTCGAAACAAGTAACTCCAAGCTTTGTAAACCTAACTCATTAAACTTTATATCTGACATTAATCGCCTTCAAACTATCCACAGTTTGATAAGAAGCAATTGCCAGCCGGAATTAATCGTAATCAATTATTGCCAATATCTTCGCATTAACGGCTGTGTTCTTGTCCTTCTCTTCATGACTCTCTTGTAAGTCCTTACGTGACTTTTTACATGACTAATTGTATAGTGGAAGCTATTATTAAATTGATGGTTTTAATTAACTACCCCTTCATCTTATCACGAATTTATATTGGTATTAAAATTCTAATTACGGATCCGTGAAACCAAAGCATACCAGCACGACCTCCCATTCCCACAGCAAAGCAACCGCAGAGTTGGGCATCGACCGCCACTGTCTCTCCTGCGCCGTCTTCTTCTCGACCCAACACAACTTCCCGCCCTTCTTGTACGCCCGTTCCGAAAAAAAGCTGCAATCACCAAGGGCCCAAAAGCTATCTCCCGCCTCTCTAAGGAAGCTCCACTCCTCAGAGTAGACGCAACTACAGTCAAGTCTGCTTTCATTCAAATTGTTCTCGGACTTGAGGATGGAATTATTGTAATAACGAGGTTATGAGAAGTCTAAGAATTGTCACAATGGGTGTAACAGTCAACTTGGGTGGATGTAGGATAGCACTTTAAGTCTAACGTGAAGAAGACAGATATATATTGTAGATCTGCTATATTGATG